GTCGACAAGTGCTCATAACACTCTGTGGAGAGAAACAGGACGAGGAAATGAGACTCAGCAAGGATAATTTTGCAGCAGCAAAGTGCAATCTTTTTTTTTTTTTCTTTGTTCTAGCAGACATAAGGCTGCACAGGACTCTTGCTGCTCTGAAGAAGAAAACTGTGCTTTCTTCCAGACATGAGCCTATAAGGCAGAGGTCTCTGCCTTGAAGAACATACTGTGTCAGGCAGTGAGGGGATTAGAGGACTGACAACCCTAAAATATGATCAATTATAATAAAAGTTAGCTAGAAGAAGCCCCGAAATTGAACTCTGTAGTAAATATGCAGTTCTAATCTATCCCTTTCCCCCCTCCCCCGTCCTTTACGATTTAATACTTGGCAAGAGAAAGGGCCACTTGACAGTATTTATGAGCTCATTATCTGTGTGTGTGTCTGCTGCCATGGGAGATATTTCTCGTAACAAGTCTATTCCATTGTAGGAACTCCTTTGCAGGTGTCTCTCCATTGTGGAAATGAAATGGTGAGCACAAACTGTGTTGGCCCCCAAATCTGTAGTACATACTACTTTCTGCAGCAGATACAAAGAAAGATGATCAGACTGAGTCAGGATAAGCTAACCTAAAGGAAGTCAATGAGGCAGATGTATGCAATGCAAGAACATGAGTAAATCTTTCCAGTTGGAGAGTCAATGGCACCTCTATGCCCTGCTAAGACCTCCATCCTAATTGCAAAGGGAAAAAGAGAGAGTAGCATAGAGTAAGTGACAGATACTGACAGGACCTTTAGGTTACACTGTTGAACTAGGTTCTCTGAAGAGTCTGTGAAGGACAAAAGATTGAATACTGTCTTGTCATCATTCAATGGAAACCAAGTTACAAAAAAAACTCAACATGCCCAGTCACACAGCTGTACTGTGAGCAAGCTGGGGTTCACACCGGAAGCCTTTCTCTTTCAAACACGTTATTCTATGTTGAACGGCATAATGTCCACATATGTTGTGCAATCTCTCATGTGATTTGTGGAAACATCTGAACTTGGATTTAAGTGATTTAGTAGTAGCAACAGTATAAAATGTCATTGGACCTGCAATTTAAAAAAAAGTGTTTCTTAGCTTTAGAGACATTTTTAAACCAAAATATATTTTAATTTAAATTATGGTGATCACAGCTTAGTTCTGATTTATATTTACTTTTTTAATGGGATGTCTCCTTATACTTTTTCTTAGAGAATGGGTCAATAAAACCTCCCACAGCTTTGCTATGCGATGAAAGATATTTGGCATTTATTTATATCATCCTATTTATGTAATACTTACAACTAGGGCTATTGTAAATTTTTGAAGAAAATACTGTCCATTAGAAGCAAGACATGTTAGCATGTAGGAAGTGTCCATACTACATGAAAGCTAAAGCTTATATTATTGCCAACAGAGTGGAAAATAATTAACCACAATAGCTGATTGGTTTAACTTCTTAATGTTCAAGCTTTTAAGTTAACACCTATTTAGAATAGATCCACTCAGCCATTCCAGAAGGTGAGACTACAATATATTGAAATAAAATCTTCACAGACTGTTAAAACAGAAAGTTTTCCTAGGGTTTTGTAATAAATTGATTTTATATGATAACTCAATGCCTCACTGATCCTATTCATTGGATTTGAATGCTGCGAGTCAGTCACAGTTTTTAATGGACAGATTATTTATCTAAAATTTCTCCATTAAACAGGGCTGGGAAAAGGATGTTTCTGCTTTGCTTTATTCCATCTATGATCAGAGTGACTATAAGAAGCTCAGAAGAACAGAGAGAAAAATGGTTGCTCTACAGAATCAGCCCTAAGGTTGGTAGGGATGGTAGATGAGCAGGAGGGTACTGATGATTTTAGAGAGAGCGCTTCTTCAAGAGGAAGCACTTACTGAACAGATTTCGGGAGAATTATAGAAGTAATTAATATTGGCAGTTGTGCCAATATTTTTTTTGTAGGCAGAACTTTAAGCAGCAATTGACCAGGTGCCAACTAAGTGAATACAAGCATCTTTTGGGTTGAAATGGCCTCATACATTTATGTAAGAGAGACTTAAGGGTCCCATTTCAGCGGGTGTCCAGTACTGGTAGCTACAGTTGTATAAATTAGCAGCTGTTACTTTTACTTCATAGAGTGTCTCATTTTCTTGTCTTTTACAATGTCTCTTCCTTTCTAAAGACCCCTAGCAAGGACAACCATATGCCCCAGGGTTCTCAGAACAGTTCTAATTTAAGATAATCTACCCTACTGCAGTCCTCCCATACTAGATCCTGTGGCCAATTTGGGGTTCAGAAAGCATGGTCACCACAGATTCAGCCATTCCAAATGATCACTCACATTCCATTGACTCCCAGACGATTTGATCATCTTGTGCTTGCTTGAACACCCCCTCCAGCTTGGACCCCTGGAGAAGAAAGGGAAGGGCACTGTTCCCTTTGGATATTATGGGAATACTTTCCATGCAACTTAAAGTACAAAAAAAAAGTCTTGAGTTACACATGCATATTTCCATCAAGTTTGTGAGCTTAACCAAGCAAATGGAGAAAAAACACTGCCATTCTACCTGTGAGAATCACTGTTTAACAGAAATGAGCATGCATAAGCATGGTTCTGACATTTATTTATTCAAAATAAAAACATAGTTCTAATGTCTGTCTACAGATTTATCACTGTTATAATGTAAACATTTTTCTATATTATTAGATATACATTGCAATCACCATTTCAAGCCCTCCCTTGCACTTTACCGAAAGAACTTGTAATATATTATTAGCACTCCTGGATGCTATTTTGATCTTACACAAAATGCTGAGACAAGACACAACATTCTCTGCAAGGAATGTTTGGGTGGTGATAGATGGTTATGTCCCGTAGAAGATCTTGGAAGCTGCCCGAAAGGATAGCTTGCTGTCATGTATGATCTATTCCTTGTTTACCCAAATACTTCGTAGACATACTAATGAAACCCACTGTAAGTTTTGTTGTCTTTGCTGTTGACTGTTCCTGCATTTCTTGAGGATTCTCTGGTGTCCAGACCAACTTTTTTGATCATCTCATTGCCATCAGTTTCTTGGCTGGCTGTGGCTAGCATTGTTCTGAGGTTGGTCTCTGGTGGAGACTGTCTGGATCACTTCTTCGCGTGGTGTATTACACACCACGTCTGCTCCCTGGCTCCAACCAGGACTTTAAAGAGATTTTTTAAAAGGCTCAGAAAGTTTCTTGGATATCAAGCAGCTCTTATAAAAATAACATTTTTATGACTTAAAATGTAAATGAATAAGGAACATGTGGATTAAATTTCCTTTGAAATGCCCCAGGGCTTAAAAAGCCGAAGAGACGAGCACTTGCAAGACGAGCTAAATCAAGTTTTGCCAAAAATAAAACACTTGAAAAATTGTTTGGGATATTTTGCTGATCCCCAGGTGCTCATGGGCTCTCCTTTCTAAATTTGGGGATGACTTAGATTTTCAAATGTAGGTCACCCAATGAAACACACTTCCAACAAGCTCAGTGGGCACTTGGCTCGTGAGTTAAGGAACAGATGTCGAAAGTCAATTTTTGATCATGGCACTTGAACTATATCTACTTCTTCAGCCTCTTGCAGCCGCCTCCTCCCACAGTGATCAGACCCTGCCTGTGCAAACAGTGCTCTGGGAGGCTCAGACCTTTAGGGGAAGATTGATAGCACCTATCAAAGAAGCCCAAATTAACGCTCCTCTCCTGCTCGCTCTTCTGTCATTTGCCCTCATGTTTTCCTGCTTCTATCTCCAGGCGTTTCCCATGGAAGCCGAGACCAAGACTTGTGTGAATGATTTATGGAGGAAGGACTCTCAGCAGTCTGGAAGAAGGAAGGCAGGAGGAGAAGCTAAGCAAAACATGGCTTCTGATGAAGTCTAGCCTCAGTCTGATTGCTCAGGGAGCTCAAGTCAAGGCTTGCCGGGCAGTCTTGCCTTACCTTGAGGGATAACTCAAGGTGTGGCTGACAGCTCCCCAAGGAGGAAGAGCCTCATCTCCAGGGTACTTGGGAGATGGACAGCTACAGTTGCTGCTAAGAATAATCCTGGAGGACATGTCTCCAGGCCAGAGTGTAACTGAGCCTTTTAGATAGTATCTAAAGCAGTTGGGAGGCTGACTCATATCTGCCTAGAGAGTGGTACAGGAGGCAGACCCAGACAGAGCCTAAACATCATCCCCTATATCCCACTTTCTCAGAGCCCTGATGATACCATCAGTTTCTCTTCATGTGCTTTCACATAAGCCATCGTTTTCCAGGTTTGTGGTATTGTTTGCATATTCCTACCACAGTCATATTTGCCTAAACTTTCTCATCTACTATAGCCTGGTTCTTCTTACCCACTTCCCAGCAGAGTTCTGTCTTGAGAATATTCTTAACCCATGTTATCTCACACACTGCTGAATTAAAACCTCCAAACACCACTTTCAAGGGGTTTTGAATCAACTATGATCCTTAAAGGTATAGAATACCTTGGACTTGTAATACTCTTTGGAGGCCCATTCCATGCTAACACTGTAACCTTACAAGAGAGCTAACATTTTCATATATAATGTTATGTGATAGAAAATTATAATACAGAAAATCAAATTTTAAGAAAAACTATTGAAAGACTTTGTTAAGGTTTTAGAGTGCCATATGTCTACAATTGTGAGAGCAGGGCTTGATAGCAGTTAAGTGCTCAGTGGATACTGGCTGGCATTGCTCACTGCTGCTGCTGCAAGCCTCACATCTGGCCTCTGGTTATATTCCATCCCTTGCCAATAGTTGTTTTACACACAGAAGCAGAAGGCTCATGTTTAAAGTCAGATTATTATATTTCTGCTTTGCGTATATTCCTTCCCATGGTACTTACAAGGAAATCCAGTCTACACCTTGCCCTGTCCTGTCTCTAATCTCATCCTCAGTGCCCCACATGTGCCTCTAGCATATGGGCTTTCTTCAGTTCCTGTGCGCCCTTACCTTACTGCCACAAGATCTTAGTCTCTTCTGGAAAGGTCTCCTGCTCCAATACCTTTGCCTGACTCCATCTTTGGGTCTCATATTAAGCAGCATTTCTCAGAAGCCATTTCTCGACAACTACAGCCATTCTGTCAGCTGTGATTTACTGAGCAACCACTCAGTACCAAGTACTATTGTACCAGGAACAGGCTGAAAATAAAGCAGCAATGTTTCTGTCACCCACAGCTTTTATAGAGAGAGGTTGCTAATATATATGTGTACATTTGTATTTGTATATGTGTTTAAAGAAAATAAAAGTAAAGGAAAAGAAGTGAACAAAAGAGTAATCAGATTTCTTCAAGAGTACTGCCTGCATTTGAGCAAAGTTCTGAAATAGATCACCAGTCTCTTGCCACTATGTAATGTGCAAATTGGCTTCTTGTGTTTCCTCCCACTTTAAGCAATATAGAACTGGAGGGCTTTGGTCAGGCTATGGTCAATGAGTTCACCTATCCCTTGATGGAGTCCAAAATGGGGAAAGGGATCTTCAGGCCTGGGGTGGGAAGAAACTTTTTCTCAACAGTGTTACTTTTTTCAGTGAAGGACCCAGTCTAGGAATTCTGGGAGTGTATATATTATATATATTAGGCAGACTTTTCTGTCCCTCCTGCCAGATCATGACATGGAGACTTATTATTAATTATGAAAGTTCACCCAATAGCTTAGGCTTGTTTCTAACTAGCTGTTATAACTTAAATTCACCCATTTTCTATTAATTAATGTGCTGTCACATGGCTCATGGCTTCTTACTTCACCTCCTACATGTTATGCTTCCTTTGTATCTCCTTGCAACTCTGCCTTCTTCCCAGCATCCTCTTCCCTGAAAATCTTGCCTAGCTATTTGACATTTAGCTTTTTATTAAACCAATCACAGTGACATATCTTCACGCAGTGTAAAGGAATATTCCACAACATTTCCCCTTTTGTCTAATAAAAAGGAAAGTTTAACTCTAACATAGAACATTTATCAGGTATTGTCTAAATAGAAAGGAAAGGTATTAACTTTAACAAATGAAACTATACAATTAGAACAATCATCAAGCACAAATCACACAATGTCCAGTCTATCTGCATTTGGCATATTTAGAGAAAATACTCCATTATCTATCCTATCATGATCAATTCAAAATTTGTACCTAAACTATTTTTGTTATAACTTGAATAACTACTCTAAAAATATCTTTTTAGACCTGAAAACATTTTTTCAGTAAACAACTTAAGCTCTTATGTTTTTTAACTTTATGAACTTTACATCTCTCCTGTAAGTTTCTCTTTTGAATTGGGTAACAAGAAAAACTGTATCTAGTCTTTAATCTCCATCAATTTTCATTGGAGACCCAAGAAGGATAAAATATTACTTGAGTAAATAGGAAGTGCAGAGAAAGCACCTTAAAAAATTAAAAAATGATAGACATTTGGCTGCCTGGACAGTCACCCCATGGGCCCTCTGAAACACTGGGTCATATATCTTCAGCCTATAGGTCTAGAATATGTGACAGGCTTTTCTGTGAAGCAGGAATTTTGAAGAACTTTCCCGCCTTGTTTTGGCAAAGTAGAGCAGTCACTTTCCTGTGTGTGTTGCAGAATGTCTGGAAAACTTTTCTATGAAACAGGAAATTTGAAGGACCATCCTGCCTTATCTTGGCAAAGTTTGACGGTCTTTTTTCTTTGTGTCCTATTTGTCCAGGTTGTACAGCATAATGTCAACAGTCATTAGACAAGGGCAGTTTCTTGCACAAATGACTAGTTTTGCCACACTGAAAACAAACTCCTTATGGAGGTTCTTTGATAGCCATCACTTCTCTGAAGTAAGTTGGTGCTGCCAGGAGTAGATGTGTCTCCTTGTCATGAGAAGCCTCAGGTTATTAAACATCTTAAATGCCATATTCTGTAGGTCTTTGAAATGTTTGAAGACCATTTATCTATCTAAATATGTCTGTTTAACCTTGAAAACATACCTAACATACTACAACTTTGATTGTCATAGGTAACTAACTACTACTGACATGCATTTCTTTATTATCCTAAGTAGTTTGTAATAATAACTAGAAATTTACATTACATTGTTAAATGAGCTACATAGGCATAATACCTTAAACAAGAGTAGAAACATATGTACAGTATGTTCTAACAAAGATAACCTTAAATCCATGTCAATATACAAAAAATCCATACCAATGTAAAATATTTGAGAGTAGTGATTATTCAAAAGTAGACTAAAAAATCCACCCTTTTATCTCACAATTTTTATAGTATATCCCCCCTTTTTCCCTTCAAGAAGAGATTCCTGAATCTAATCTCCTTTGTTTAGTTTTTTTTTTTTTTAACCATGACCAATACCAATTTGTAACCAACACTCTCCAAACAATGACAAACATCCATAGCCCATTGAATGAACAAAAAACCACTCACCAACTTCTGGGGAATGTGGGCATTGTATTCTCTAGACTGCTTCCTGTCGTCTGGGGGCACTGGCATCTTTGTGGGACTCTGAAAAAATTACAATAATGGTCAAGTCCTGGCTAGAATAGTCTATGAGGCTTGATCATCTCAGCTAGCAGCCTTGAATCCATTCTGGATGCAGAACTGGGGAAATTGCAACAGAGGCATCTGAGAGCCAGATTGTGTATGCCACCCATTTTCATTGGTGTCTGGTTCCTTTGTTCTGAAAATACATAAACAAATAGCACCTAACATCTGGACACATATTTCCACATAAAACCCAAGAAAACTTTTTTAAAAAAGGTTCCAAACACAAACACAAAAGGAGCCAAACATGGCTTCCTAGTCCTGTAGATGTAACCAACAGTTTTATTAAATAAGAAACACAGAACCAATGCAAAGAAGAAAGCCAAGAGATCAGAGCTAAGAGCCTTACCCATCTACTGCAGCTAGCCTCTTCAGCCAAGAGAGCTACTTCCTGAGTTTTTGTCTTTATATAGACAGACCTATACAGACAGATCTGTACAGACCTCCAGGTCTTCTATGGTTGGTATTGAGATTAAAGGCATGTGTCTCCAATGCTGGCTGTATCCTTGAACACACAGAGATCTACCTAGCTCTGCCTACCAAGTACTGGGATTAAAGGCATGCACTATCACCACCCAGCTTTTGCTATGGCTCTAATAGCTCTGACCCCCGGGCAACTTTATTTATTAACATACAAATCACATTTTAGTACAAATAAAGTATCACTATATAGTCCTGCAGTTTCTCATGCAGGCCATGCCTCTCCCAGCTGCTGCCTGCAGATTTGAGGTGTCATCATGCCATGAGCTAAACTGTACATTCACATTTAGGATAGTAATGTCTTGATTAGAATGGAATTTCCATCTTTATCTCTTCTGATTATTTTTAATTTGAGTCTATTTCATCATTTATTAAGATAGTGATGTCTGCTTGCTTCCTGGTCCCATTTGATTAATTTGTCCATCCTTTTTCTCTAAGGTGGTAACTATCTCTAAAGTTAAGATATGTTGATTGTAAGAAAAAAAAGTTAGTTTTGTTTCTTGAACCAACTAGCTAGCCTTTATCTTTTGATTGGGGAATTGATGCATTTATTATGTAATTTTTGAAAGTTGTTAGTTGATTGTGTTGATGAATTTTTTGGGTGGTGGTGTTTGTGTGTGATACTTTGTGTTTCTATAGTCTCTTGACTATTCTCAGTCTTCTCTTCAACTTGAAATATTGCTTTCTGTATTTTCTTTAGGTTTAATCTGTTGGCTATAAGATTTATTCTGCTGTTTGTATGGGATAGTTTTGCTAGTGTAGTATTACAGGTGTTTGAAGTTCTGGTCCTTTGTGACTTGGATTGAATTGCTTCTGACTTTGATAGTTTTTATTGTGAAATCAGCCATTATACTGATGGGTTGTCATGTGACTTGTATTACCTAGAGAATTTAAAAACAGGATACTAAAAAGAGAGGTGCCATTTCTATGACAGAAGAACCAGTTAAATAAACTAAAAATCATATTTTTAGGGGATGAATAGGTGGCTCTGCAGTTAAGAATGCATCCTGCTCTTGTAGAGCTACATCAGGTAGTTCATCACCAGTTGCACCTCCAGGTATCAAATGCCTCTAACCTCTGCAGGCACTGCAACACACACATACACACACACAGACACTAAAATATGTCTTAAGATATTTCCTCAAAATATGATTTTAAAAAATTTTAGAGAGAGAGCTTGGAAAATCACCAAAGGAGTGATGAAAACCCAGAACAACTCAGAATCAAAAGCCATTTTAGAGGAAAGAACAAAGCACCAAGAGGATTAATATCCAAGATACACACACACACAACACCCAGAGGAAAATATATAAATAAATAAATTAATTAAATAAGCAAATGACCCATTTAAAAAAATGGACCTTGAACCTGAACAGATTGTACTCCAAGGGAGATAAAAGCTAAGAAATATCTTCTAAAATGTTCACCACCCCTCATAATTATGGAAATGCAAATCAAAACTACTTTGAGGTTTTATCTTGCCCCATTCAGAATGGTGACGATCAACAAAACAACTGACAGGAAAATGCTGCAAGGGATGCAGGGAAAAAGAAAAACCACCTCATTTACTATTCCCAGGGCTAGTGATGTCATGGGCCTTGCGAAAGAGTCTACTGCCACATGGCTTGACTAGCATAGTTCTTTACTACATTCTCAGTATTATCCTTATACCCACAGATAAAGGTGGCTATCACTGCTCATCAAAGAAGCTTCTCTTTACATGGAGACTTACCACAGAAAAGCCACAACTGGACACAATACAGAGATTTATGGATTGTGGGGAGCCCAGCCTCAGTGGATACATCCTCGGCATAGTTCCTGCATCTATGGCTCAGGGAACATCATGGGAAAGGGGGCAGATAGATTGCAAGAGACAGAACACCAGGAAGTCTGCTGTGAGATTGTTTCCTAGAAATGGCTGCAAAAATATGACCCAAACAATGACAATATCAACAGACATGCTAATGTGTAAGAGAAATCTTAAGGGGATTTCCCCATAGACAAAGAACTACAAGCAACTAATGACTGCTTAGAGAGGAAGAATTTGCCTTTACCAGGGACAGACCCCCCATTGTTTATGAAATACAAAGTGGTTAGCCCTGAAACCATATATACACAAACAAACAAAAACATTCAGCAGGATGACTTTAAATATTTGTGCATGACTCTCTGTGTGTGCAGCAATACTAAAGAAAAGAATGCTCTCAGTTAAGAGAGAGAGTGAGAACAAATAAAGGATTACATAATTATATTTCAATTTTAAATGTATAAGAAAAAAAATTAAAGCTCTGAAATTGCCCAGTGGAGCAAGTACATGTTCCATATATACACAGAAGCTACAAGACTCTTGAGTCCCATTCCTACAAGCCTCTTAGCCATCAGAGTTTGTTTCACATGATTCATGAACATGCTCATTCATACCTTGCATTCTAGGGCCACAGATACCCAAGCCCACTGATACCATCACTATTACTTGTTTCATGGGACCAAAAAAACATCTCTTTTATGTCACATACCTCCAGAGACATGGGAAATTGCCCCTAAACCAAATATTCCTAGACTGTGGCCCAGGGGACCTAGGGAAAGTGTTGGCCACAACCACCACAAACCCTGGCATTTTGTTCTTGTATAGCAAATGGTTCTGAACTGAAACATTCCTTCCAGGAGGGAGCTCATGAGACTAGGAAGTCAATAAAATGTCAAGTATATGGAAAGTGGGCACTTTGAAGATTCTCCAGGACCCTTACCCAGTTTTATAGGCAGGTTAAAAAGAGTAAACAGATGCAGAGAGAGGGACGGACCAAGTTGCATAAAAGAGATTTCTCAGACTGGCAAGCTGCCTGTGAGCTGTGTAGCGCTCTATGGTTACAACTTTTGCAAGCCATCACCTATGCTGGGAAAGAAAGACCTTTTGATGATTCAGCTACTTTTGTGCCATCCCTGCTCCCGTAAGTAACCATTCCCCCATCCCCTGATACTAACCTCAATAAACACTCATTGGTACATCAAGTTAGACTTTGGTGTAATCATTACTTGGTCTATAATGGACTCCCTTTATGGGGTGAATAAACCCACGTGTATTAGGTCTCCCTGGGAAAAGTCTGTCATATAAACTTGAAAAGATAGTATCCTAGCTGGGTCTGACATCTCCACAAAAATGGCTAGAAGATACATCTCTCCCAAAGAAGCAGCAGTCACTCCCATAGGACCCATGGAAGTTCTCCTGTGTGATTCACAACATCAAGTCTACAGTTACTAATTCCCCAGATCACCTGACTTCATTCCAGAGAACAGAAGAAACACATTTTGTGGCTCAGGGGATAAGGCTACTGCTATTGTAACTCTTATTATTATGGTGGTAGCTGGAAGGGCAGGCCTCTCCACATCCTAGACCACTGGGATGGCACCTGCTGTCACAGCCAACAGGTCTGTCATGGCTCACCCCTGTGGAGCTAGAGGTCACGCAGTTTTGAAAGTCCATGTCCACTGACAGTTACATCACTGCCATTCCAAACTGCTACAGGCTATATTATTAAGCCACTTATAGAAATGCGGACTAAACACAAAGCACCTACCCAAAGGACATCAGTATCCTAACTAAACAACAACAACAAAATCTTTTGCTATAGAAACTACCCCGCCAGATGGCTCACTCATTACAGTGCTTGCTGTGAAATCATGAGAATCCAAGTTTTGATTCATGGCACCTACATAAAAAGCTGAGTACAATGTGCATGTTTTTAACCCCTATGCTGGATGAGGAGGTAGAGATAAGTAGATCCCAGGAGTTTGCTGATCTGCTAGTTGAGCTGATTTGGTGAGTCCCAGGTTCAAGAAGAAACTGTCTCAAAAATTAAGGTGGAGAGCAACTGGAGAAGACACCCCCAATACCAACCTCTACCCTCTCCAAATTCACATAGAACTATAAAATACATACACAGGAATGTAACAAGCTGTGGGATAATGATTTTGTATGATTCTTTACTAAAACACTGATTGGCGTGTAGCCAGGCAGGAACTAGAGAGATTTGTCCTGACCAAGGGCCAGGCAGGGACACAGGAAAACTTCCAGCTACAAATGGCACCAAAACGTGGGGCAAGAATTTCTACCCAAAACCTGAGAAAGCTTTAAAAAAGGGTTTTAACATGGAGCCAAGAGCAGCTTCCTAGTTGTGTTTCTCAGGAAAGCCATGATACAGAGACACCACAGCCTGCGGGATTGAGCTACAGTATGGTGGGTTTTTGGCATAGGGGCTTGAGTGCATCATGGTGGATTCCTGCCACCGTACACAGAGGTGTCTGCAAGCTGCGCAACATAGTGCCTGGTGGATATACCTTTTGCTAATACAGAAAAAAAAGTTTCTGGGCTCCAGACTCATTGAGAGAGGCATAAACCCACTGCTTTCGAGAGTTGGCAGTATGCATGGTTCTCCCAGAGCTGGCAGTAAACATAGTTCCACCATGTTGGGAAGCTGAGGTGG